AGCTCTCGCCATAGTAGCACAGACATGAGCCGCCGAATCATACCCCTTCGTCATGGACGCCTGGCCAACCCAAATGGTCCAGAGTTGCCGCCTCAACTCGACCATAGGCTCTACCGGCCCCACAGTCGACAATATCATACTCATTGACGACAATATGAGGCGGGACACCACCACTGAGAGCAACTTTTTCGGGTCCTGGTAGCCTTATAATAGGGTCCGGCAGTAGTGAGTCTGGCCTTTCCAGGTCTATTTCCTCCACAGTGGCCTCCGCCAACATATATGGGAAATCGGCCTGCCTACCAAGATGACTCAAATCAATACGTAGCCTATGCAGGTACTTAGCCTTCCTGCTAGGACTCTGTAGCTGTGAAGGTAGGATACGAATAAGCCACTGTAGAGTTATAACTGCTTGCTCCCACTCCTTACCTCTCTCCAAGGCCCATACACTATGCCATACAACACTAACCAGCTGCCACCAGCACGTCAGCCTAGCTTGCCACCTCTCTAGCCGATCCAGACGTTGCTTCACATCATCAAGGCGGGCGTCTATGTACTGCATAACAAGCCGTCCGAGGTCTGCTAATTTGGGAGCACCCTGGGCCCCGAGCTGCCACAGATAAGCACCGTATACCCCTACTTGAATGAGCTCATACTCCTCACGATCGAGCAACCACGGCATCGTAGATAGGGAGGCCCCCGGAAAGGCGCATCGTAATTTACCTGCCTGGGCCAGGACGAGAGCCTTGGGCATGGTGGCCAATTGGAAGGTAGCACTCGATGGGCCCTGCATATCTCCACCTAATACTTCCAATAGGGCGGTGATGACAGCTAAGAGCCTTACTGTCACTACTGTGAGTCGGACATAGGCAGACTCCCTGAGGGCCTCAGAACATAGACATGTCAAGGACCGATCGGTGGAGGGTCCGCTGACGACCACTGAACTCCGTCCGATTAGACTTCAGGAGGGATGCCTTGGTACCAGCACTGGGTAGAGCTAGTGTGGCCGCTAGTCGACGAAGGGCATTAGTATCCAATGACTGCAGCA